GCCAGAAATGGCCGTTCCGGTCACACTTGTCATTGCTAACAATATTCATCTGTCTACACCACTGGTCTGGATAGTGAGCACAACAGGAGTAGTTAGTTTCGTTCACGATCGGCGAATGTTCATCAAGCCATAAGCGCCAGTTCATCATCAATCGAGTGTTTTGGTTGCCGGATTTGACCCGGTGTCTACGATGGTTGTGTGATTACGTGGATTTGCGCATATTTCATGCCTCAGGTCACCTGCTGTACGTGCTGTTCTACAGGTCATCATGTCAATGTAGTTACAGTGAGCTTGTTGCATGGAATGTGAGGAAATGCAAACCAGCCTGGCGAAATAGTTTTTGGGGATGACGGATGTTTTTGAAATCCAATGCTAGGGAAAAAAGCCAATGGTACCTGAAGTAAGGGAATGGTGATAATAGGGATTTTATGTATGAGGCCTCTGGTAACGACCGATGAAAAAGTAGAACACGTGTTTGACTCTTTTGTCGTGAGGAACAAATTCAGTGTGAATACGAGCCCTGCTCTTTGAAGTTTGCTATCGCCGAGGGCGTTTAATAAAGCAAGCATTCAGTCCTCTCCGTTGGTTTTTCGTGAACATAACTTGACCAAGTGGGCGAGAATAGCGTCTAGTGGACATACTCAACGAGCGAGGATAGCACTGCCGAAACATTTGCCTACATAAATTTATTTTCTTTTAAAATGCGCGTTTTCATTGGTGTTTGGATAACTGTTATTGTAACTTACCATACTAACGGCCTAGGTACTGACTAAAAGGCCCAGGCACGTGTTTTGCCGGTATTCTGCCGCTGTTTGACACACCTGCGAGGGGTCCGGCTCATTATTGGGTCCCCCAACTTTCCCTGTCTGCTTTCTGGTTGATATACAGGTTCTGAACGTGCAGCTTTTTAATCTCCTGTGAAATTAATTTCTGTTCACCGTATATATCAGTATATTTAAAGTCTATAGGCGTTATATTACTCTCAATATCTCTTTTGTGCTTTCTTTCAACT